TGCCCAGCACATTTTACAGGTTTGTCCCAAGTCTATTCAGAATTTAACCAACTAAATACACTTTTAGAATCAGTTTTGATAGAAGCATCACTTGGGTTCGATTTTAATGCCATATTGAAATCTTTAATATATGCATTCAATTCAGGCATGTTGATATGCATTACATCAAACTTTGGTCGAAGCCAAGTCACATCTTTTATTTTTTGTCACCTTGCATTATTACAACTCCTTTTGCCAGCGAATTTGCATCACATCATACAGTTATAGATGCATTTGATTTGACATTCCATACACTTTTTGCTAAATCGCATTTGATGACTTTATCCACGACTTCCTGCATCATTTCATTTATGTACTTATTCGTAATAGGTTCATCCCAGCCTGCTTTGTTTGTACATCTCTTTATAAAGCTGCATGTGAGTTTCAGTCATCCAGCAACTGGTAGATTAGCAACCAGATTATCACATAATGTGAATGGTGAGCACATTTTTAATAATGGGAATCTTGCGTCTTTTTTTCCAAAACATTTCCTTTGTAGATCGATTTACTGTTACTTCCAATCTTAGTGCACAGACTAGTTTTTTGCCAAAATATTCAGGTGTTTTTGCGTGAAAACCCTATTTCTTCATGTGCCACCAGCTTTCTTCCATTTCCATTGGTTGCTAAGGTGTCATCAATGTATCCTCTTGTTGACTTTGCAAATTCAGCTAATCATCGCAGGTGCTAGGTTCAAACCAAAGCCCAAACGTGTAAGCGCATATTGTTAATCTTTGTAAATTACAGTTTGGCCAATGTTGTTTATGCACATGAATTTGTAGGTATGCTCTTTTTAGATCCACCACTGAGTTGTTGCTTTTTTTACTCATGAGTCTCCAGTTCCTCATTGCATCATTGATGACATCCTCACCCCTTGTAGAGGCTTTTACATAGGTGTAAGGTTTGCGATAATCAAGCACTGGTCTTATCATCTTGAATGATGCATATCAATGGTAGTATTCCTTTAATTTTTCCCATAATTTTATCGTCATATTTGATAAGTATGCCTTCTTTGATCCATTTATTAATTTGGTTGTCAAACGCCTCAGGATTTTTGTTATATATGTTATATTGGCTTGTTCTGTTTTTCATTTCAGGTTTGTTCTCCCACTCCCAATTACACTCCATTTTTTGCCATCAAAATAATCTTTTCTTGTTCCAATTTTAATTGTCACAAAACGAGGTGTTGATGATAATTTAATCAGAGAATTGCAGAATTTCAATTTTCAATTGCCAATTTTTCAGTTTATCACACGACTTTATTAGATCCATACCTATAATCATGTCGCACATGATTATAGGTATGGATCTAATAAAGTTTATTACTTCATCCACACATAACACAAATGCATCCACCAAGCACCCATTTGTTGGGTGGTGTATTTTAGCAACAACTTCTTCACATTGAATTATTTCTTCCATTGTTGTAACATTCATTACACGAATCACTTTATAGTTAGATGGTAGTATCTTCTTGGTTATGATTGATTGCAAGCAACCAATATCCACAAGCGCTGTAGCTTTTCTTCCCTTTATTACCAAGTCGATAGTAGGTAGTATTGTTTCAGGACGAGTTCTTGCAGAAATACCTAATGCAAACTCGTCTCATTTAAGTTTTCCTGGTTTTGTTGACGTTTGTAGCAGTCCTTCGCAGCGAGCATTTCTTGCATAAAGAGGTACACTCACATGCAAAGTGATTTAATGATTTGCAGTTGGAACATTTTATTTCTTTCTTTCTGCATATATCACTTGACATTACAGTCCCAGTTGTTCAGTAACATGCATTTACTTCTTCATTTACAGATAAACATGCTGGATCTAATCTAGTTTGTACAATCGTGGATGCAGTCTTGACACAATTGTCAAAGCTCAACACATCTTTTCCTCGAATAATGGCACGTAGAACAGCACCATCATTATTCCCAATAATGAATTGATCACGAAGTCGGCTGTCTCTCTCTGAAGGCAAGAACTTGCATTCTTAAGCTGCTCGGATCACTTGATGCACAAATGTCTGTATTGATTCTTCATTGCCACAATAAGTTTTCCGAAATTCATACCATGAGATTAACAATGATTTTCTAGTTTCCAACGTTTCCAGTTTTGTCACCAACTCTTTGTACGAAATGTCCTCTGGCAGTTTAGGTGCATTTAATGAGCAGAGCAGCAAGCAAGTACACTATGTATCGATCTGAAGTAATATTGTTCATCACGAAAAAAGAAATCATCTGCCGAATAAATCGCTTTGGCTGTCCATCTTCATATTGCAGAGATAATACACACGCCCGGTTAGCTTGTTGTTCAACGCATTTAGAAGCCATTTTGTTTTTAATGTTTTTATTACTTATCAATAACCTCAACCTTTTTACAAAAAAATTGTTTGCTATATATAGCATTTAAAAAAACAACTTGTGACTCTTGTCAACAATTAATGGTCATAATACAAAATATTATAATAATAAAA